AAATAATATATTAATAATTTACGTAGTATTATACTATTATACAATAGTGTTAAGCAGTGTCGGTCTGGCTAATGATCGGGCCCTTGGTAGTTAGMACTATTTTTTGTTAAATTTATATAAATTAATTCTTAACATAAATAAAATAATGTGCCTATAAGAATCCTACATTGTTTTTTATGCTTCTAGTTTAAAAATCATTTTCGTATGGAACGGAGTACAGCCTATTTTATTATAGACAAATTTGAAGAATCCAAATTTTTTCCTAAAGAGATTCCTTACACAATTACAGTTTGTTCTCCAGAGACTCATATTTTATCATATTTATGGTATATTACTACCTACACAATACCTATTTTATGTTTTTGTATCGTAAAAAAATGTTGTGCCTTATATAGGTTTTCTGCAAACAAATGTTGTCTACGTGATGTATCGGAACGATTTGGAGTTGGACTCACTACACAGTACCGTATTAATAACAGAGTTGTGGATTTTTTGATTGATATTTGTTCAACATACATAAATTTCAATGAAGGATTTGAGAAATTAGCTCATGAATTTCAAAAAGTTTGTTTATTTATTCTAAATACCTAATTYTAAATGTTTTAGTGCATGATTTTTCCTAGATACATATGCAAATTATTCTTTAACCAAAATTAATTAGAATGATCTAAACTTTACACATTTTTTTTATCAGATTTAAAATATCTTATTCCAATAATAATATGTATTTACAATAGAATCTGTTCCCTAGTGGTGAGAGATCACTACAATAAAGTCATTATATTTTTTAATGCTTTTAATTGTATTAACATTTTGTACAATTAGTTAATAAATATGTCTATTTTAATGTAGATATCAGGAATACCAGGTGTTATTGGATGTATTGATGGAACTTCAATTCCAATCCGAACTCCTGCTCATAAAATAAAAAGTACCTATACAAATAGGCATGACACACCTTCAATTACTCTTCAAGGTGTATGTGACTACAAAAAGAGATTTGTTGATGTATTTACAGGTGCCCCTGGTAAAATACATGATTCTAGAGTGTTTGCATTGCGTGCTGTCATCATTGCAACAGTGACGCAGACACCGTTAACCACACCCTTTTTGAGTGCCAGTATTGGAGCGGTCTAAGGGAGGAGCTTGGCGGGCGCCTAGGCCACCACCCAGCTGTTGAGGACATGCCGGCCATTCTCTGCGGCCCTGCTTTCGAGGACTTGCCGTTGGATCACTCAGTTAAGGCCGATGTTCTTTACAACGCGGAGAAGACGTTCAGGATCTT